CCCAGTCAGGATAACCACACTGCTCCAGGGCCTGTCGTGTGTGTGATTTCTCTTTCTGCCTGGCTCCTGGGTTTGTAGGGACAGTAAATTGAAGTTCCTCTACAGGAGCTGAACTGACTCCTGATTAAGATGCAGGGTTTGATGGATATTTGGTTTGGGTTTTTAAAGGCTGCAGCAATATTTAAACAATACAGTATAACCATTTTAAAGCTGTTTTAATGAGCATGAACTAATAAAGTCAAACAAATCAGCTGATCCTGTTGACAGCACTAATATTTGTGAAATTTGGTTGTTTTAGACATTTTCATGTTGTGGACGTTGTCATCAGTGTTGCTCAATATTTTCTGACAGAAATCTCTAGCACCACCATCACCACTGTGGAAGAACAAGAGGAAACCCACTACACTGGTGTCCAGTTACCTCAGAAAACCAAAACACTTGAGCTCAAGCCAGAATCCAAACGTTACTCTTCTACTTTAGAGAAGAAAAAAGAAAAGCCAGTTTTCCTCAGCCAGCTGTCTCCATCAGCTGTAAACGCAGGTGAAACAGCCAGGTTCACGGTCAGGGTGTCGGGCTTTCCAAAGCCTGCTGTTCAGTGGTCTCACAATGGGACGATGATAAAGACCTCCTCTGCATACAAGCTGGTGGAGGAGAAGGAGGAGTACACACTTATCATCACCAAGGTCACATCCGAGTACGAGGGCGAGTACCAGTGCACGGCCACCAACAGGTTTGGTCAGACAACATGCACCACGTACCTTGAAGTAAAAAAACCTGACATCAGCCAGGCAGAGAGGTGGGTGGAAAAGATGTTCAAGGTCACAGGTCAGCCTCCAACTTTCACAGTTCAGATCCAACCCATGAGGTGCTCAGAAGGAGGAGAGGTCTCCTTTAGTTACAGTGCCAGGGGTGATCCAGCCCCTGATGTGAAGTGGTTCAGGGGGGCTTTCCAGATCCAGCCCAGTAGAAACTGCATCATTCTAGCTAACCCTGATGGGTCTGGACAGCTCTGTCTGAGGACGGTCAAACAGGAGGACAGTGGTCTGTACACATGTAGAGCCTCCAACCAGTTTGGTGAGGCAGCTTGTAGCGCCGAACTGGTGGTGTTCAAAGAGCCCACCTCTGTTTCTCATAAAGAACAGCTCACCGTGGTTCAGAAGAAAGGCTACAAGGTGTCAGTGTCAGAACAGGCAACAGAGTCTCGTCTGTACCAGGTCAGCCTCCCGGGTCAGGACAGGACCAGGTCCGATCAGATGGTTTACACCATTGGCACTGAAGACAGGAAAATCATTCAGAGCGAGCAGGTGGGCTCGCTTCAGGAGGTTGACATCTCTGCTGCCACCATCCTTCGGGAGAAGCTGACCCACCAGGCCGCAGTGCTCCAGGCTCACGAGGTAGAGGAGAAGGTGTCTGTGGTTCCGACCCGCCCACCTCAGGTGTCGGCTGTCCCTGGGAAACAGCTCCACATGGCAGCGTTTACAACGTCTGTGGAGGAGAGTCAGGGCCTGACGGAGCAGCACTGCGATCGCATTCAGAGTCCTGAGCTGATCAAAGTGCAGGCAGCCCGAGAACAACGGTCACAGCTCATGTCTGCTGTGGCTGAGGAAATCACCTCCCTCTCTACTGTCAGCGCAGGTCTTCTGACTGACAGGAAACCTGCTGCTGTGAAACCCAGCTCTGAGCCCAAACACCTGGTCAGTGGTCATCAGGTGGAGTCACAGCTTCCCATCATGAAGGAGCAGTCTGAGGAGATTCCCAAAGCAGAAGAAGAGAAGGGCTACAAGGTGAAAGAAGGGGTTAAGATTTTATACTCAGCCCAGTCTGAAGAGAAACGACTGTTTGAAGAAGGCCACACAGCTGAACTAGCAGCTGCACAATCTGCTGTTCAGTCCACCTTAATGAAAGAACAGCATCGGCCCGTTACAGCCTCAGTCAGTGAGTCCAAACAGACACTCTCCAAGGAGATCAAGTTCTCCATGGAGAGGCCTACAGAAGAAGCAGCCCGTCTCCTTAAGGATACCGTGATGAAGGCAGCTTTAATCACTGAAGAGAGGCAAATGTTCCAGGATGAACCAAGCCAACCTCTGCCAAGTCTGGACAGCGCTGTCTTTGTTCAGTCTGAGGTGGAAAGAGGTCAGGTGCTTCACCTGCAGGTTATAACAGATCAGGACCTCCTCGCATCTGAGACGAGCTTTAGCTCTGAGAAACCAGCATCAGAGCAGGCCGATACCAGGAAAAGTCCCACGCTGCTGCACGCCGTGAGTCAGGATGAGCAACAGACTGTGGTTTGTGAGGACACGTCAGAGTTTGAGGCCAAGGCCAGCTCCATGGTCCTCCAGCCCCAGAAAGAGGCTCCAACTCTGCTGCATCTGCAGTCCATCCAACCTGTGGAGGTTCTGCCCAAAGAGGGTGTTCTCCCAGTGGAGAGGCCTGAGCAGCAGTTAGCAGCACAGAAACAAGAAAAATCAAGGAGCCATGCTGCAGTCTCAGAAGAGAAAAGAGAGCTCACAGCCGATTATCACCAAGAGCTGGATTTGTCTGTGACCGGAGTTCAGTCTAAGCTTCGAACTGAGCCCAAGCCTCAGAAGATCCTGCAGCTTTCCTATCAGCCCATGCAGCTGCCAAAGGAGACACCCCTCACTGATGATGTCAGGCAGCAGAAGGCTTTGATTCAGAAGGAGGAGCGCTGGAACGTGATGCATGCCACCAGTGTAGCAGAAGGTCAGGCCTTAGAGGAGGGTCACACAGAGGGTCTGACAGGTGTCCACACATTCAAAGGTGTGATGGTCATAGAGCCAAAAGTACCAACGGAACCGGTCCAGATTGAAGAGAAGGAGATCTCCACTGAGAGCAGTGTCTCACTGGAGGCAGCAGAACAGGACTTTGCAGTCCAGATCCAAGAGGGTCAGTCAGTCAGGCAGTCAATAGTGATGGACGAGAAGAGAGTCCTGACTGGGGAACTGTCTCAAGAGATTTCTAAGTCTCAGTCGACTAAAGTCACGGTGAGTATGCAGCCGAAACCATCCTTAATGGCATCAGAATCTAAAGACAGCATGACTCTTCCCAAAGAGATCACCTTTGTGATTCAGATCCCCAAACCATCTAGTGTGAATATCCGACACCAGCTCAGAGAGGCTCTGCAGTCTGCTGTAGCCAGGGACCAGCCCGTCTTACTGGCTGATGTTGTTGGAAGGTTACAGGCTGTTGAAGTGCAAGAGGTGAAAGTTCAACAAGAGCCCAAACGGGCCATGTTTACTTATCTTATCACAACAACAGGCGCCCCCCTGGAGATCACCCTGGCTTTTGAAGGGGAATACCCTCAAACAGCTGACCTAAGGACTGAACTCCAAGCAGCTTTTTACTCCATTGTCTATCAGGAGACGCAGGTTCTTACTTCRGAGCAGCCAGGAATCATGCAGATAGACAAACCTCAGAGGGCTCAGGTCACCTCAGCCAGGTCCAAACAGATGTTGTCCTCGGTGGTAGAGACTGTGAGCGTGGCAGAAACAGCAGTAGGTTTCACAGCTGTGAAATCCCAGGCTGCTGCGCTAAAGACTGAGTCTGAAGTTACCGTTGAAACAACTGCAGCAGAGAAACMGGTTGTAGTGCAGGAATCCAAGGAGGCAAAGGTGGAAAAGTCTATTTCATCTCAGAGAAAAGCTGTTACAGAGGTGGATTTTAAGCAGTCAGTGCAGGTATCAAGACAAGAAGTTACGTCTGTATCAGTGGAAATCAAAGAGTCAGTGGATGTCAGCGTCCAGCAAGAGCACAGGGAGGAGATCACAGTATCCAGGCCAGAGCAGAGAGAATATCCTRAAATAGTTGCTCCTTTGGAGGATTTATCTATTGAGGAAGACAGTAGCATAACTTTTAGTACAACTATTAGGTATGCCACCAAGGTAAACTGGTTTTTCAATGGACAATTGGTGAAGTCTGGCAAAGAGTTCAAGTGTTCCAAAGACCATGACACATACTCACTGATTATCAACAAAGTTGTCAAGGAGAGGCATCAAGGAGAGTATGTTTGTGAGGCTGAGAATGAAGGCGGCAGGACAACAACGTCTTCAAGACTGACTGTGGTCACAAGAGGTTTGATAACAGGAATCCTTTATTCATTCATTCACTACTAATCCACACAAATGGGTTCATCCAATGTCACTCTGGTTTGTGGAACCATTTCATCGCTCGGCATGAGCACTGTCAGCAGGGCACTGGGTGGTACTAACTCACTTTGTTTTCTTCATTCCACATCATTTCCTGATCAGCCCTAAAGATCAGAACCATCACAGCCGAGCAAGCTCAGCACAAGTTTCTGTGGCTTTTACAGATCTTGCAGTTCTGGTTGTCATGAAACTGGTCTTCAGGGAACTCCATGGTCTTTTCATAATCATGTTGGCATGTTGAGGCAACAGGTTCTGAATTATTAGTCTCTCATTTCTTCAGGTCCATTTCCTTCACCTCACCATACTTTCCTTCCTGCATGTTTGATGGCTTCAACTCTGCCTAGTTTCATGTTCACCAAGTGTTTGTTTCTCCTTGTTCCAGCTCGAACCCTAGCCCCATGAGACCCTCCTTTAATTAAAACATGGGGCTAATGTTCTCCTCCACAGTCTTTCATGATTTGCCTTCCACCATTTCTGTACATTCCACCATCTGCGCTCCTGATCTGTCAGCTTTGTATCTATTTACAACTGTAGCAGAGGATGTTATAACTAACTGTTGTGTTTCACTGTGTCTCTGTGCCTCAGTGCCGCCTGTTTTCAGGCAGAAAATCAAACCAGTGGACATCAACGTCGGTGACCATGCAAAATTCGACTGTGAGACAGAGGATGCTCCAAACGTAACCTTCAAATGGTACAAATCTGGTATCGAAATCAGACAGAGCGACAAGTATCGGATCGTTAGTCGCCATAATGGTTCCTCTCTGGAGATCCTGAACCCATTGAAGGCTGACAGCGGCGACTACACCTGCAAGGCTTCCAACCAGCATGGTTACGATAGCTGCTCCACCTCACTCGTTGTGACTGGTAAGATCCCAGTGGGAACCTTTCAGATTATTACTCTTTGTGTCTGCTGGAGAGAGAGAGAGAGAGAGAGAGAGAATTATACACCTGCTGTGTTTTGTCCTGACTTATTATGGCACAGTTTGGAAGGCAGGGTTTGCTTGAAATGATTATTTTTCCATTCACTAGGTTGGAGAGCTGACTTTATTTTGATGTTCGTCTCATATATTAAAACCTTTTGTATGTTCTACCTGCTTTCCGTAGAGATGTATCCGCCAGTATTTGTTTCAAAGCCAGATCCAATGACCCTGTTTGTGGGCAAGCAAGCTGTTCTGCAGTGCTCACTCACTGGATCTTCACCCATGGAAGTTGTATGGCACAAGGACAATGTAGTCATCTCCTCTGAAGGAAACTATGTCGTAAAGTGTGAAAAGAACAAGTATTCACTTAACATAAAGAGTCTTGAGTTGACTGATCAGGGGGTGTACCTGTGCAAGGCCTCCAACAGTGTTGGCACAGCTATGTTTATCACAGAGCTCCGAGTTATTAACAAGCCCAGCTTCGTTAAGAGCTTTGAGTCGGTGTCAGCTGCTGTCAATGACCCACTCAGGCTGGAGTGTCAGGTGGACGAGGACACTGGTGTGACTGTCACCTGGACCAGGGATGGTAAAAAAGTCCACCAGAGCATGGACTATAAGCTGTCTTTTGAGGACAAAGTGGCTGTTCTTGAGATACCCAAGTCCAAACTAAAGGACTCTGGGAAATATTTGTGCACAGCTACGAATGAGGCTGGGAGCTCCTCCTGTGAGGCTGTGGTAACAGTTCAAGGTAAGACCCTGAAGGTTATCTTTGGTTTTAGTTTGGATTAAGACCTTTGTAGACGTAAAGCGGTGGTTCAAAGCTTTTAGCTCTTTCCAACCAACTGCAGTGTGCTACTAACACTTTGCACAAGTGTCTTTGTTTCTTTTCCTAATCTTTTGTCACTTGATGTGTTTCTGTCTGTGTTGGACAATGTTGATAAGTGTTAGTGTTTCTGAACACTCTTCCAGAGCCTCCTGCTTTTGTCAGGAAAATGGAGCCTAAGATAACATGGAAGCAGGGTGCAGCTGCACGCTTACAGTGCACCGTTAAAGGATCCCCAGAACTTCACATCCACTGGTTCTGGAACGACAGAGAGCTGATGGATGGAGACAAATACAAGCTGACCTTTAAAAATGGAGCTGCTTCTGTGGAGATTTTGAACCTTCTGGTCACAGACAGTGGCACCTACACCTGTGAGGTGTCTAATAATGCTGGCAGTGAGAGCTGCAGCACCTTTGTAGCTGTTAAAGGTTTGTCCTGCGTCACATGTACATTACTCTGTTYAAGTCAGAAAACCTGTGGTGATAACTGCATCCACTTGAATCTTTTAACATTCAGAGCCTCCATCTATTAGAAAGGATCTGCAGACTGTAGAAGCTGTAAAAGGAGCAGCAGCTCACCTGGAGTGTGAGATCGCAGGAACTGCTCCTTTTGAGATCAGCTGGTTAAAAAATAAGAAAGCCATCACAAGTGATCAGAAGTTTAGAATAATCTCCCAGGATTCTCTGTCAAGGCTGGAAATCCAGACCTTTGAAAGTGCAGATGTTGGAGATTATCAGTGTGTTATATCCAACGATGTAGGAAAAATCACCACCAAGGCCTCAGCTAAACTGAAAGGTTAGTAAACCTCTTACACACTGAGGTTTAAGCTGCTCCTCACATCCAGACTCAATCTTAACATCTGACATGTTTTTGTAGAGCCGCCATCTTTCTCTAAGAGAGTTGAAAGTGTGACGGCCGTGTTGGGAAACTCAGTAAAACTACAGGCAACCATCAAGGGCTCAGCTCCTATCACTGTTAAATGGAAGAAAGACTCTGAAATCATCAGAGATGATGATCCAAACATCAGAATGGTGTTTGACAACAACATTGCCATCTTGTCCATAACAGCAGTGGCCATCAGCCACGGGGGCAAATATTCCTGCCAAGCAGAAAACGAGGCAGGGCAACAAAAGTGTGAAGCCACCCTGACTGTGCAAGGTCAGACCAAGTCTTTAAAGGTTTATCTCTCACCTACAGGTCCAAACCTCTTTCCTTTTTATAATTATCAAATGTGCCTTACACCAGAACCTGCCAGGATCGTAGAACCTGCAGAGTCCATCAGTGTGACTGCAGGAGATTCAGCCACTTTGGAGTGCACCATTTCTGGAAGCCCAGAGCTGAAAGTAAAGTGGTTCAAAGACGGGAAGGAGATGATCAGTGGGCGTAAATATAAAATGATCCTGAAGGATAACATCGCCAGCATGAAGATACTGACCGCAGAGAGAGGAGACACTTCAGAGTACAAGATGGAGGTGTCCAATAAAGTTGGGAAAGACCAGTGCACGTGCTCAGTCACAGTTTTAGGTCAGAACACCTGCTCCCTCACTGATTCTTTACGTGTCAGGGTTTTACCTGCCTCTCAAACACAACTTACCTGCCAGAGAATCAGAGACCTGCTGTGGAATTAAGAATTGGGGATCAGGGCTCGGATCAGGAGTAGAATCAGAGACCAGGTCTTGGATCAGGGATCAGGACTTGGATCAAGAGTAGAATCAGAGACCAGATGTTGAATCAGGGACCAGGTCTTTAATCATGGACCAGGTCTTGGATCAGGAATCAGGGCTTGGATCAGGGATCAGGAGTAGAATCAGGGACTTGGTGTTGAATGAGGAATCAGGGTTTGGATTAGGGAGCAGGGCTTGGATCAGGAGTAGACTCAGAGACCTGGTCTTGGATCATGGATCAGGGCTTACATCAAGGATCAGGAGTACAATCAGAGACCAGATGTTGAATCAGGGATCAGGTCTTGGATCAGGAGTAGATTCAGAAACCAGGTGTTGGATCAGGGATCAGGATTAGAATCAGAGACTTGCTGTTGAATTAGGAATTAGGGATCATGTCTTGGATCAGGAGTAGAATCAGAGAACAGGTGTTGAATGAGGAATCAGGGTTTGAATCAGGGCTTGCATTAGGGATCAGGAGTAGAATCCAAGACCTGGTGTTGAATCAGGGACCAGGTCTTGGATCAAAGGTCAGTAGTAGAATCAGAGACCAGATGTTTAATCAGGAATCAGGTCTTGGATCAAGAATCAGGAGTTGAATCAGAGACCAAGTCTTGGATCAGGAATCAGGGCTTAGATCAGGGATCAGGAGCAGAATCAGACTTGGGGTCCAATCAGGGACTAAGGTAGACTCTGGGACTGAGCTAACTGAACATCTCACACTCTCAAGTTCCAGACATTCATTAGTGAACATATGATCAGTTCCTGGGACTCCATGAGTCAGCTCAACTTGGTTTATTTAAAAACTACAGCAGAAATAATAATGTGGGAGTTTCTTCTGCTACTTTAGCTTTGACCCTTTTTATCATGTGAAACATTTATACTTTTTAGTTTTGATTTTACCAAATTAAAGTGTCTTAAAGCTTGAGTTAAACCAGAGTTTAGTGGTTCTTTTCCAGAACAACACAAACTGTTTATGAATGAGGTGCTTTTTCTTCAATACCAGATCGAATAATGCCTCCAACGTTCACCAAGTCCCTGAAGAGAGTCGATGGAAACATTGGTAATGACATCCTCATGGACTGCAAGGTGTCTGGGTCCCAGCCCATGACCATATCCTGGTTCAAAGATGACCAAGAATTAGAATCTGGAGTAAAGTTTCAGCCTGAGTTTAAAGACAGCTCTGCTGCGCTGAGGATCAGCACTCTGGAGAAGACRGACTCTGGAGTTTACAAATGCAGAGCCTCCAACTCAGCTGGCTTTAAAGAAACCAGCGGGACACTCTACGTTAAAGGTCTTGAGTCTTATTTTGTCTTTTTATGTGTTTTATGTTCTGTCTGTGAATGATTTCTGCTAAAATGAAGTGAATCTTTGTTTTGTTGATGGCCTCCAGAGCCCCCGGTGTTCACAGAGAAACCAGACAAACAGGAAGTTATCCCAGGAGCCAAAGTTTCCTTCAGAGCAGCTTTCACTGGAACGGCTCCTTTGGCCATCAAGTGGTTCAAAGAGGAGAAAGAGATTGTAACTGGAGGCATTTATTTTATAAAGAAGGATGCCTCTTCCAGCTCATTGGAGCTTCACTCAGTAAAACCCAGTGACTCGTCTAAATACACCTGCCAGGTGTCCAATGATGCCGGGAAGGTGGACTGCACCGCAGTCCTGTTTGTGAAAGGTGCCTGTCTTCATTTGTGTGTGCCGCAGCATGAACATGTCTCTGCACCATGAATGTGATGCTAACATGTCTCCTGTCCTGTAACGAATGGTGACCTCTTCTCTCAGAGCCTCCCGTCTTTGTGAGGAAGCTCGATGCCACCAAACTCATCACCAGCGGCGACTCCAGCAGGCTGGAGGTCCGAGTGACGGGCAGTCCCGTCATCACTTTCAAATGGTTCAAGGATGAGATGGAGATCATCTCCGGTCCTAAATACTCCATCAGCTTGACCGATGTCGAGGCAGCTCTAGAAATCTTAAAGTGTTCAGTGGAGGACAGTGGAGAATATGTGTGTGTAGCATCGAGCGAGGCAGGAAGTGATCGCTGCAGCAGTACCGTTACCGTCAAAGGTTAGTTTAAACAGACTTTACTCCTCACTGTCATCATATTTAGGTTGTGTTAATCAGTCAGTGAATCTTTTACAGCAACTCTGGTTTTAGAACTGAGCTGACATGTTTAAACTCAGCCTTGGGTTCTGCTCACAGTTCTGCTCGTCATTGTCTTTTAGAACCTCCGGTGTTCATACGTAGCTTGGAGTCCAAAGATGTGGTAAAGGGTTCTGAGATGATCATGGAGTGCCAGGTTTCTGGTTCTGCTCCTTTCACCGTGTCGTTTTATAAAAACTCTAAAGTGATCAGAAATGACCGAAGACACCGGATCACTGTGAATGAGGACCTGTTGGCCCTGCAGGTTCTGGCCGTGGAGCCAGGAGATGTTGGGCAGTACCAGTGTACTGTTGAGAATGAAGTGGGCAGAGCATCCTGTGATTGTCAAGCAACCCTCAAAGGTTGGTTTCATGCTGAACATTTGACTCTTCATTTAAAAAAAGCACAGTTCCATCTTTTTCTAACTTTTCTTTAGACTTCAGAATCAACAACAGGAAGTGAAAAAATCAAGTTGTGTTTTTTAAACTGAATATCTTTGTTGAAAGACTTTTGAAATGATCCATTCTTGAAGCCAGTGGTTCAGAACATGTAAAAATGTTAATTCTGTACATTTATGCACATTTTATTTTCATTACAGACAGTATGAACTTCAAATATTGATCTTATTATCTTTGAAGGAGAGGACAGAAACCTTGAAACTTTGTTGAAACTTTGACACAAACATGTGAACAGTTAGTATTCACGGTCTGTGTTGAGGATGACTCTTACTACCAAGTTTCAGCTCAGTGTTTGTAAAACTGACAGAATTGTAGCTGTTTTTATCAGAATTGGCTGTAAATTAAAACAAAGATGATGAAATAAAACAGTACCTTCTTGACTGTCCAACTTGACCAAATGAAAAGAAACTGAAGAATCTTTGGTTTTCTAAACTGTTCTGTCTGATTGGAGTTTTAACAGCTATAAGTGGGAACAAACAMAGTGGATGTGTAATTAAACAGTCTTTGACTTGATTTAATCTCTTCCTTGTAGAACCTCCATCGTTTGTAAAAAAGCTGGAGAACCTCAGTCCTCTGGTTGACAGTGACGTTTCTCTGCAGTGCTCTCTGAAGGGCTCTGAGCCCATCACTGTCACCTGGCTGAAAGACAACCATGAGCTGAAAGAGGCTGAAAATGTTCACATGTCTTATGAGAACAGGACAGCTATGCTGCTGATCAGCAGCGTTCAGCGTCAGCATGGAGGCAAATACTCGTGTCAGGCTCAGAATCAGGCCGGGCTTCAGACATGCTCCTCTCTGCTGACGGTCAAAGGTTGGTTCCTCTTCTTGGACATTTTACTAAAAACACAATAAAACATGTAGCCAACATGGTGATGGTTTGTTTTATCTGTACGTACTGATTACACCGAGGATCAAACAGAGGAGCAGGAGTAGAATCAGAGATTAAGGGTAGAGTCAGGAGTTGTGGGGTTGTGGGTAGAATTAAAGATCAGACTCAAGGACCAGGGTGGAACCTGTGACAGATTATTGGGCCTTTAAGATTGACCCTACCAGGTCATAAACACATCGATTCTTTTTAAAATTGATTTGAAGTCTTTCTGACATTTCTTCTTGACGCCTCAGAACCAGCTAAGATCACAGAAGAAGCAAAGTCTGTCAGTGTGACTCAGGGGGACCCGGCCACGTTGGAGGCCCGGTTCTCCGGCACAAAACCCCTGAAGGCGAAGTGGCTGAGGGCTGGGAAGGAGCTGAGCTCAGGCCACAGGTTTAAGATCCAGACCACAGACACTAGCTCTGTGCTCAAGATCCTCAAAACGGAGAAAATTGACAGCGGTGAATTCATCTTTGAGATTTCAAACGATGTTGGTCACAGTTCTTGTGAGGCCACCCTCACCGTTCTGGGTCAGTTCTTCATGTGCAGAGTTATTCTGTGATGTGTTTAGTTTGATTGTTGCTCATGATGTTTTATTTTATACCCACGTTAGATCAAGTAATTCCTCCATCCTTCACAAGGAAGCTGAAGCAGACAGAAAGGATCAAAGGATCCTTTGCTCAGCTGGAGTGTCTGGTGGCCGGCTCCCTGCCAATAAGCATCCAGTGGTTCAAAGATGAGAAGGAGGTCCAGCCTGATGAGAAGCATAAATGTACATTCTTTGAGAATGTTGCCTGTCTGGAGATCGCTGATCTTCACATTAAAGATGGTGGCAGTTACACCTGCATGGCTAAGAACAAAGCAGGAATGGTCCAGTGCTCCGGGGTCCTGTTAGTCAAAGGTCTGACCACAGTTGGGTTGAGCTGGAGGACGTGTGACGCAAAGCTGCTCCTCGAAACCATTTACAAGTACTGGTTTGTTTTTCTCTTTCAGAACCACCTGTCATTCTTGAAAAACCTGACTCCATGAATGTTTTACCGRGCTCCAAGGTCCAGTTTAACGTTCTGGTCTCTGGCACGCCGCCTCTGACCATCAAATGGTTCAGGAACAAGAAGGAGATTTTGTCCAGCGCTGACTGCTCTGTGGTCAAAGACAACACGTCCAGCTCTCTGGAGCTCTTCTTTGCTAAAAGCTCTGATTCTGGAGATTATGTGTGTGAGATCCAGAACGATGTGGGCTCCACTTCCTGCCAGGCAGCTCTCTTTGTCAAAGGTTACCTGTCCTTACACTACTGTTTGGTGCACACGTAGAGCTACTTTAGGTTCTGATTGAACATTCTTACTTTGTTGTAGTTCTGTTGTTTCAAGCTGTGACTCACTGACAAATAATCAAAAGACCTTAGTGGAGCCTGAAACATCACAATAGTTCACCTGATGGTTATTTTTAACAGTGTTATTCTGTTTCTTAGAGCCTCCTAAGTTTACACGGACCCCGGCTCGCGTGTCCGTGGTTCGACCCGGTCAGAACAAAGTGTTTGAGTGTCAGGTGACCGGAACACCTGAGATAGACACCTACTGGTTCAAGGAAGGCTCAGAGATCAGTGCCAGTGATCGCTTCAAGATGACCTTTGTTAACTCTGTGGCCACTCTGGAAGTCTGTGGAGCCGACATGAAAGACGGAGGCCTGTACTACTGCGAGGCCCGCAATGAGGCTGGCAGCGAGAGCTGCAGCATGGAGCTGAAGGTCAAAGGTCAGCCTCTTACTGTGCAGCTCTGTTTCTGTGACCTCAACTTGTCCTGACAGATACCAGAGCAATTTAGAGGTTCAACGGGAAATATGCAGGTTATGTGACAAAATGGGTCAAATCCTGTGTACAACACCAAACTTCTTCATTTAATTACATTTTGTTTGGTCAGGGACAACGCACGTTAATTAACATTTCTGTAAACACGCCAGAATTAGCCAGAGGCCATCTTTCATCTGTTGTCCCTGGACATGCTAAGAACAAACTATTTTAAATATTAGGATGTTTTCCTTCATGTTTTTGTTTGTAGGAAACACTCYTWAACACTTTAACGATCWGGGCCTGTATTTATCAAACTTCTTAGAGTGGATTTTTAGACTTWAGTGCTGAAGATRTCTTAGATTTGCTCCTACTCTCAGTCTTAAGTATAAGTACCAGTTATGAAAATTCTTAAGTCTAAGAATCAGTCTTATTCTGAAGAAAAGTTCAGACTGATCCAGAGGACTCTGAAGTGGTTCAGAGTCGTCACTAGAGGTCTGAGATGAACTGAAGACAGAGATTACAGCTGTCCTCCTCCCCACCTGACTCTTATTCTCTGTTAGAAGATGGAAAACAGGCTTAGTCAGAAATACTGTACAAAAGAAAGAAAAGTAAAAAAAAAGTGTGCATAAAGTTGGACTAAAAGGTGGATATTGGTGTGTGTATTTTGGAAAAAATCTTAAATATACTCAGCTGGTAAATGCATGCAAACGCCCCCTCTAAAAAATAAAAATGATGGTGGGATTGAACTTTTACTTTATTAACAATCGTTCTTAACATTCACACAATACAATAGCTGTTAATGATGGAGCGGGGTTGTGTGAAGCAGGTGTTGTCTGCGGACAGAGAGGAGGAGGAGCAGCTCAACATGACCTCAGGTTCTGAGACATAAAAACTTTAAAGCTGCTGAGTTTAGATTAAAATAATCTGAGATTTTCGTCTGTTCTCATGATGCAAATGAGRACATTTGATGTAATTTACAGACAATCAGTACAAGGTGACAACATTAGTGTGTTGAAAGTGAACTTATCTTAACATTTTCACAGTTTTATCTTGACATTTCTCCAACAATATTCCTGAACATGAAACCTGAGGCAGTGATTGGTTCATGTCGGGTTTTTTCTAACGACGTCTTCAAGGATCAGCTTTGTGGCACAGCCAGGTGTCACAGATCAGCTCTAAGACTGACACTTAAGATTTACTCCTACACTTCACTTAAAGTAAGACTGACACTTAAGAATTAAGAATTACTCCTACACTTCACTTAAAGTAAGACTGACACTTAAGAA